TCATGGTTGTCAGAAGCTGAGGCCCAAGGAGACCTTACTGCCAGGGTCTCTTCTCACTCTGAGGAAGCCATTCTCCTCCTTGGGGTGGGACAGGATGGTCACAGCCTGGCAGGCCTCAGCTAGGGAGCAAGGGGCAATCCCTGCATCTACAGCCCCATATCAGTTGCGTTGCTGTGGGATCAGGCTGTGTGGAGTCTGACCAGAGACTTTGGGAAAGGGCCATACATACGGTGGCAAAGGGACTTGGTAGTCCCCAGAAAAGGGAGATCTCCAGGACTCGACCTGTCTTGGAGAGGGCAAAAGCAGCTGCAGTGTGGGAGCCAGTGAGAGACTGAGCGGCTGCACTGGCTCATGGGAGGGCTGAGTGGCTGTTGTGGCCCTGCTTTCAGGAAGGACCGGATCACAGTTCAGGAGAGAGAAGCAGAAGCCCTGAAGCAGAAGGAGCTGGAGCAGGAGGCAAAGAGGATGGCAGAGGAGAGACGCAAGTACACGCTTAAGGTGTGGAGGGGTGGGCTGGAGGCTGGAGGGGGAAATGACTGCAGCAAGTTTAGCTTGGACCTCACTGCAGATTGTAGAAGAGGAAGCGAAGAAGGAGCTGGAGGAGAACAAGCGCTCACTGGCAGCACTGGATGCACTTGATACAGATGACGAGAACGATGAGGAGGAGTACGAGGCCTGGAAAGTCCGTGAGCTGAAGCGTATCAAACGAGACCGTGAAGAACGAGAAGCGTAAGTATGGTCTGGTAGACAGGAGGCTGAGAGCCCACAGGTAGTTGAAGCACCTTTTCCTCAGACTGCCCTTTGGCAGCAGGGTCCCAGCTGGACTGAGTGCCCAGAGCCCCTCCTGCCCACCCTTGGGGTGCCTTTGCTCCCCGGCAGTAAACGTGTAAACTCTCAGGTGGTAGCTGGTGGCAGCCTCTCTCCCAGGAGATGCTGTGGGGACACAGGGTCTCAGGGGCTTTTCTCCCACCCAGCATGGAGAAAGAGAAGGCAGAGATCGAGCGTATGCGGAACCTGACAGAGGAGGAGCGCCGGGCTGAGCTCCGGGCCAATGGCAAAGTCATCACCAACAAGGCAGTAAAGGGCAAATACAAATTCCTGCAGAAGTACTACCACCGCGGCGCCTTCTTCATGGTGAGTGTGCTGAGGCCCAGGCATGGCTGCGGCTGTGAGACTGCAGGGCTACCTTTTCCCTGTGGGTACCCCTGCCTCTCCCACAGTGCCCTGGGGCTGGGGGTGCCGTGGGACAAGAGCCAACCTTCAGAGGCAGCATGGGGCTGAAACTGACCCAGATTGACCTCACCAGAGCATGGCAGATTAAGGGTTCCCAGTTGAAATTGAGCTGAAGCTTTAGAGCTGTCCCTGTGCTGCTGTTTGGGCTGACAGACCCAGCCAGAACCAAGTCAGCTCTGCATGGGCCACTGGAGAAGCAGCTTGGGGAACAACGCTCACATCCCCCACTCTAGCGGGAGTTAATAGGGCTGCAAGTGCTGTGGCAGCCCTGGCAGAGCAGAAGTATGACCTTCAGGCAGCTTCCACCACTGCTGCCAAGACTTGCTGGAACCTTTTAGGCTGAGCAGGTTTGTTCTCCTGCAGGATGAGGATGAGGAGGTGTACAAGAGGGACTTCAGTGCTCCGACCCTTGAGGACCACTTCAACAAGACCATCCTGCCCAAAGTCATGCAGGTGGGTGTGCTGGCAGAGGGTGCCCAGCCCGTATGCCAAGGGGTGGGAGTTCTGAGCACGGGGGAGCAGCAGGTCCTGCATCCCCCCTGAACACTGGCTCACAAATTCTTCTGATCCCCAGGTCAAGAACTTTGGGCGCTCAGGGCGGACGAAGTACACACACTTGGTGGACCAGGACACCACGTCCTTTGACTCTGCCTGGGGCCAGGAGAGTGCACAGAACACCAAGTTCTTTAAGCAGAAGGCAGCAGGGGTGCGGGATGTCTTTGAGAGACCCTCAGCCAAGAAGCGAAAAACAACCTAAGAGCACGGGCAGGAGAGTCTGGTGTGGCTGATGCTGGCAGGAGGGCACTGCTCTGCCAGCTGCTAGAGCCTGGGCAGGGCCAGGAGGGACATGTTCCAGGAATCCTGTGGTGACGAGCCCTTCCCCTGCCTGTAGCATGCCTACCCTGAAGCGGTGTCCCATTCCCTGTGCTGAGCAGACCTGATGGGTTCCTTGCCCATGCACCGTGGAGGACAGCCTGCACCATAGCCTGTGGTGCTGGCCAGGCTGCTGGCCACAGTTATGTCTCAGCAATGGCCACCGTGGAGTTTTAGCAGTGTCTGCCACATTGCAGCACCACCCCTGGCTCCAGCACATCCGCTTCTGGAAGAATTACAGGACTTTTCCACCCATCTGGTCTACAACCCCTTGTTTGTACTGTCCCTGGTGTTAGTCTGGGCCCTGTTTTGGGGTGGTCAGCAGTGACTGCATCTCCTTACTGTGGTCCTGCTTGGCTTTTCTACCTAAGTGGGGTGGGAGGGTTTGATTAAAGATTTGATTTTCTTACACACTGGTCCCTTTGCTCTCAAAGACATGGCCATCCTGTTCTGCACCTTCCTTGTGAGCCATGGTGATCTGGGGCAGCACAGGAGGCACCAGTCTGAGCAGGGCATGAATGATTAGCTGTCACCACTGTCTCAGGCCTGTGCCCGGGCCTGTCCAGCCTGTGCTGCTCTAGGATCAGAAATCAGAAGAGGGGAGAGCAGCATTTACCAGTGCTTAGGCATTTTGTCCTGCTCCAGTCACAGGGGTGCCCAGCTGGCACCGCCAACAAAATGCCACATGGCTGGGCCCTACTTGTGGGTACCATGCACTCAGGGCCAGGGGCATGTGCCCAGCACTGCGTAGACCACAAAGACAGCCCAGTCCCACCAGTGCTTTTATTGGTATGGCAAGAGCCCCATGCCTGGCAGCCCGTGGCCTCCCAGCTCAGTTGGTGAGGGTGATAAGAGCCTCCACCACGTTGCCCATGTGCTCGCGCAGGCTGCGCTCCGCTGCAGCCCGTGATATTTCCATCTCCGTCATCTGCAGAAAAACAGCCACAGCCCCGTACAGCATCCGCAGGACCCCACGGGCGGGGGGCAGTGGGGGACACCCACCCGCAGGGACACCCGACCGGCCTCAGGGCAGGCATGCACCGGCCTCCTCCGTGGGTGCAATTTCACACCCAAGATTTGGGACAAGTCACAGCCTGCCTGGGGTCCCGCCCCTACTCACAATCAGCTCTAGATCCTCCTTCTTGATGGTCACTTTTGCCAGTTCTTTCTCCCTACGACAAGAGATGGACAAACCTCCGGTGACCAACAGCCGCCGCTGGCCGGTGCACCTCGGCCGTGAGGCGGGCAGGAGCGGCCGCTCGCAGCCGCGCGGGGCTGGGAGGGGGCCGGGGAAGGGCCGGGATGTCAGACAGGGAAGCAGATGCCTGGGTCGTGTCCTGAGTGGTGACAAGTTCCGAGACAGGCACTGCCCCGGAGCGAGCGCGGACGGTTACCTCTCCTGCTTGGCTTTCTGCTCCCGGGACCTCCGGTCTCCGATCACCGACATAGCCTGCCCAGAACGAGCGCGGTCACCCCGCTGCGCGGCACCGGGCGGCTCAGCGCCACGCCGGCGGCACGGGCATCGGCGCCGGTACCGGGATGGGCGTGCAGGCGCGGTGGTCAGCGCCCGGCTCGGCCCCGCTGCAGGCAGCACCCGGCCTCCCACCCTGGCCCGGTCCCGTCCCGCCGCCGCACCGTCTCCAGGTTGGAGCTCTGGATCTCCTTCTCCTCCGCGTAGTCCGTGACGCGCTCCAGGTCCGCCGCGCCGCTATCGTGCTTCCGCGGCTTCTCGGCCGCCCGACCGCCCGCCCCATCGCTGCCGCCGCCGGAGCCGTTCGGCTCCGTCTCCAGCTCCAGCTCCACATCGCCCTCCGCCGCCATGCCGCCGCCGCCGCGGCCGCTTCCGGTCACGTGCGCTGCCGGCGGGGGCAGCGAGCGGCGCGCGCCGCCAGAAGCGGGCCCGGCCCCGCGCGCCCGGGGCTCCGGGCAGGTCGGAGCTGGCAGTGCCGGCACTCCCGGCCTTTCGGGCCGCTCGACCTCAGCGGGCCGCCGGCGCTGCCGAGGAGCAGAGCCAGGCCGGGCGGGCGCAGTCCCGCCGCCGCTGCCCGCGAGTGCCCGCCGGCGGTGAACTGGGATCGCCGGGTCAGCGACCCCGATGTGGCTCCCACCTCCGCCACACGGACGGTCGGACGAGGCAGGCCGCAGCGGGGCCCCGGCCGGGTCCCCGGGAGAGGCGGCCGTGTCTTTCCGTGCCCCGATGCCGGCCCGGCCCCGCCGCTCGCCTCGCGCGCGTCTCCCGCCTCACCCACCCGCGCCACCGGGACACCGCGACCCGGGCGTGCTCCGCGCCCGGTGTGGCAGCGGGGGACACGGGGGACACGGGGGACGTGTGTCACCGCCGCTGCAGCCGCGGCATCCGCTATCAGGGCTCTGCCAGCACGAAGCCTGAATGGCTGTGGAGCAGCTGAAGAAAGGTGACGGAGCCCCAGCACAGAGTCCCCTACACCGCCTTTCTTGTCCCCAGCTCCTGCCGGCCCTGGGGCATCCTGCTGCCCGCTGGATGTGCTTCATGCCCTCCCACTAACCCAGCGAAGTACCTGTGTCCCCTGGGTGCCCCTGTGCCCGGGGCTGCTCCAGTCCTCCAGTAAAGTCCACATCCCCCAGCCCCTCCACACAGCTCTGTGGTACTGCTCTGGGATCACGGAGACCATGGTGCAGACCCCCCGTGCCCCTCATCCAAACTCATGTTCGGGCCACCTTCCAGGGCCTCGCCCTGCCCAAGGAGGGACCGGGGTCTGGGCAGGGATGCCCATGGCAAGGAGTCACTGGACAGTGCCCATGGAGCACGCCAGGGGTGGCCTGGAGGGAACAGAGAGCAGATGGCAGGGCGGGCCGAGCTGACAATCCCCTAATCCCATCAACGCCGCGGGGGCTGAGCAGAGCCGAGCTGGGCCATGGCGGGCACACGGGCACACGGGCATCTCCTGCACCCGCTGCTCTTCCAGGTGGGACCTGGGGTCTGTCTGGGCTGGGAGCGTGGCTGGGAGTGAGGCTGGGTGGGTAGAGTGCGCTGAGCCAGGCTGGGAAGTAGTGCTGGCCCCTTGGGGTCCCCGCTGACCATGCCCCTCCCCAGGTCTGCTGCGGTTGTCACGGGCTCCGTGTGTCCACGAGCACGCGTATCCTTTACACGCTCCTGCATGTCCTGGCCTCTGCCGTGTGCTGCCTCATGCTGTCCCGCACTGTGGCCCAGGCTATCACGGAGAAGGTGACGGAGGGAACCGGGACACCCCGGATACTGGGAGTATTGGGGGTCCCAAGGGTGCTGGGGGTCTCAAGGGTACTATGAGTTCTGGGGGTACTGGGGTGCCAGGCACTTCAGGGGCATGCAAGGGAACCCTGGGTATGCCAGAATTGCCAGGGGCATCGGAAGTACTGGGATTCTGAGGATACTGGGATACTAGGATAGTAACAGGGCTGCTGGGAGTGCCAAGGGGGAAGGGGTGTCAGGGGTACAGAGATGCAGGATTTGCCTGGCATGCTGGGGGTCCCAGGGTACTGAGGAGGGTATTTGGAATGGTGGGAATATTGAAAGTTTAGATGTGCTGGATGCCGTGGGCACTGGGGGATGCTGCGTGGACACACCAGCAGCCCTGTCCCATCAACCACCGTGCCCACCAGGTGCCCTTCTCAGTGGTGCTGTGCCAACACCTGCCAGGGGGCACAGACTGTGAGCAGCTGGTGGGTTCCTCGGCCGTGTATCGGGTCTGTTTTGGTACTGCCTGCTTCCACCTGGCACAGGCTGCCCTGCTGCTCAACGTGCGCTCCAGCTCCGACTGCCGCGCGCAGCTCCACAATGGGTAAAGATGGGCCATGGGGCTAGGACAGGGTGTCCTGGGATGGGATTGCCCTGGGGTGGGGCTGTCAGGGGCTCTGTCCTACTGATGTTAACTGTCCTGCAGGTTCTGGCTCCTGAAGCTGCTGGTGCTGGTGGGCCTCTGGGCCGCCAGCTTCTTCATCCCTGAGGACAACTTCATCCAAGGTGTGTCCCCCACCCTGTCTGAACTGGCACTGTGGGCACCCCTTTTGGCCCCCACCTGCCCTGCGCTATCTCTACCTCTGCCCTCTTCCCCCAGCCTGGCACTACATAGGTGTCTGTGGGGGCTTTGCCTTCATCCTCATCCAGCTGGTGTTGATCACAGCCTTTGCGCACACCTGGAACAAGAACTGGTGAGTGTTGGGGTGCTGGGTGGGTACTTGCCCACTGCCACTGCTTATCCACTCTTCCACAGGCTGACAGGTGCTGCACAGGACAAGCGCTGGTATCTGGCCGTGCTGCTAGCCACAGCCACCTTCTACACCCTTGCCTCTGCCGCCTTCTCCTTCCTCTACAAGTTCTACACCCACCCAGCCGCCTGCCACCTCAACAAAGCACTGCTTGCCATCAATGGCAGCCTCTGTGGCATCATGTCCTTCATCTCCATCACACCATGTGTGCGGCTCAGTGAGTATCACAGCACAGCATGGTGAGGGCTGCCATGCTGCATGGCCAGCTGTGTCCTGGGCTGGGGATGACTGGGCCCCAGCTTGGGGTCAGCACTTGGGCACTGGAGGAGAACCTAGCTCCCCAGGGTTCCCACTGGCCATTCCTGTACCTTGGTGCAAGGCACTGGACAGGTGAGTGGCAGGAGGGGACGGCCCAGGGCCCACCCTGAGCCCCACCCACCAGGCACTCCAGGCATCCATCAAGGCACTCCAGGAACTCCAGTAATAAACACCTCTGTCCCCACTCTTGCAGAGCAGCCACGGTCAGGGCTGCTGCAGTCCTCAATCATCAGCTGCTATGTGATGTACCTAACCTTCTCCGCACTTTCCAGCCGTCCCCCGGAGAGAGGTGGGTGTCCCTGTCCACCACCAGCAGTCCCCACCATGATGCTTGCCCTTCTCACCTCCACCTCCCTGCAGTGCTGTACAAGGGGCAGAACCTCACTGTCTGCTTCCCGGGGGTTCGGCAGGATGAGCTGCAGACTGAGGACACCACCGTCGCCGTGCTGGGCGCTGCTATCATGTATGCCTGCGTGCTCTTTGCATGGTGCGTGTACCCTGCCCAGGCACAGCCAGCCCAACCGGCACCACATGGGGTGCCAGGGGTGTCCTGAGGGGTGGCAGGACAAGAGCAGGCGGGGCGTGGTGGGTGGACAGGGGCAGCACAGCAGAGCTCCTGTGGCCATTGGGAATCCATGGGGCAGGCTGGGAGCCCAGCACAGGGTGATGGCTGCCTGTGTTATGATTTCTGCCTCTCTCCTGGGCACAGCAATGAAGCCTCATACCTTGCTGAGATCTTTGGACCCCTCTGGATGGTCAAAGTCTACAGCTTTGAGTTTAAAGTGAGTAGCATGGATGCAGCTGTGCTCCATGTCCTCCTGCTACGGGCACCCCAGACCCACCACCTCAAGGCTCTGTCCCAGCCCCAGAGAGGGGCAGGTCTGTCTATTACACACACCACTTGCCCTGGCATCAGACAGATCTCAGCCTTGGTGGCCACAGGGCTGGGCAGTCACCACCCGCTCTCCCTGCAGAAACCTTCCTGCTGCTTCTGCTGCCCTGAGAAGATGGAGGAGGAGCTGAGAGGTGAGTGCAGTGTCTGTGTGGGAGAGTAGGCAGAGCCTGTGTCCCAGCCTGGCAGTGCCGGTGAGGGAGGGCTGCAGGATCTGCCATGCCCCCACATTCCTCCAGGCACCGACCAGACATGTGAGCAAGTAGAAGAGAATGCCAAGGGACAGTTCATCATCCAGGATGAACAGGACCGGGTGGTCTACAGCTACTCAGCTTTCCACTTTGTCTTCTTCCTTGCCTCGCTCTATGTTATGATGACACTCACCAACTGGTTCAGGTAGGACTCTACTGCTGCCCAGCACTCCCTAATCTCACTCTAAACCTCTGTGCCGGGCAGTGATGGTATCACCTAGCTGGCACGTGCTGGGGATGCTCAGGGCTCTGTGCCCACAGACCTGCACTGCTCCGGTGGCAGCTGTGCAGCGCAGTGAGAAGGGCTGGACGGGCCGTGGCAGAAGGGACATGCCTAGGGGCACGTGGCCACTGGGACACAGGGTGACCTGGTGGCTGCAGCTGGCACTGGAATCCCCTGTGTTGGCATCCCTTGGGCACCAGTGCCTGCACTCTCCCACCAGCTATGAGAATGCGGTGCTGGAGACCACCTTCACACACGGGAGCTGGTCAACCTTCTGGGTGAAGGTGTCCTCGTGCTGGGCTTGTGTCCTGCTCTACTTGTGGCTGCTGCTGAGCCCCTTCTGCGTCCATGGCTCCCCACAGCACCGTCGCAGCAGTACAGGGCCACGCATCGTGCGGCGCCGACGTACTCCACAGCGCATCAATGTCTCCACATAGTCCCTGCCAGGACAAACTGTGCCCAGGACTGGTCCCTGCCGTGCCCTGGCCCTGCTTGGTCCTCCTGGCCTCCTCTCACCCCCTGTCCCAGGAGACAGCAGCATCCAAGAGCTGAGTGGAACACGGGAGGTGGATGCACTCAGGGATACTGGCCCTGTGCTGAGCCAGGGCCACCCAAAGGGCCAGAGCAAGCTGGTGGCAGGTGCTCAGCCCACAGCCTGGTTGCCCTGGCCCCACTGGGGGAGCAGGGCTCTGCCATGGCAGCCACTGCTGTGGTGCATTCACTGTAAATACCCCCTTAAATACATTTTTATATAGAACTCTGAACCGAGCCTGTGCCAGCTGCTGCCATGGGGATGAGGAGAGGGGGTGCCTGCAGCACTCGGGCACTGGCCACACAACAGCCACAGCTGAGGACACCTTCAGGGTGGCTCTGCCAGAGGCGGGGACAAGCAGGGCGTGCAGAACAGGGGACAGTGCTCTGAGGCCCAGGGTTGCAGGAGGGTGTGCAGCCCATGGCTGCTGCCCCCAGGGAGGGCACACTGCCAGTGTGGCTGTAGGATCAGAGTGGCCCTGGGCCCCCACCCACAGAGCAATCATGGCAGGGCAGCTCCCAGCACAGCAGCGTGGGGCTGCAGCACACACTGTGCCCAATGGGCCCCACACTGTGGTGGTGGCGGTGGGTGCAGGACAGACTGACACGCATCACCAGGGTGCCCACAAGGCTGGCACAGCCTGGGCATACAGCGAAGCAGGAGGTGAGGTAAGGGCAGCACCGTGGGCGAGTGCCACTGGGGTCCAGTTGGTCCCAGTGCAGCAGCAAGGCAATTGTGGGGTCTCTGACTGGAGCAGCAGAGATGAGGGACTGCAGTGCCCAGTGCCCTGGGGCTGCCCCTCACACCTCTCCCACCTCAGGAGATAAGGGCACACATGGGGGGCTCGGGGAAGGGCAGCTGTGGCACCATCTTGGAGACATCAAACAGGTAACACTGGAGTGGGGGTTCCTGGCAGCCCCCATCACCCAGGGGCTCTCCAGTGCTCTGGGCCATGCCCCAGTGGGGTTTCCCTGCCTCACCCCACCCAGAAGACTGGGCTGAATGCATCTCCCACAAGGCTGAAAGGGCTGGGGAGGGAACTTTAGCGGGTCCAGCAGCACAAGAGGTGGCACTGAACGTTCCTCCTAGCAGGGGTGGACTTCCAGATCAAGCAGCTTCTGGTGGATGGGGAGCAAACCACATTACAGATCTGGGACACAGCTGGGCAGGAGAGCTGAGAGCACAGGGCCAGGAGGCCCAGGACTGTGGCAGGGTTCCAGCAGCAGCCCCACAGCAGCCAGTCACCACACCAGCAGCAGTGACAGCCCCAGCATTTGGTACTGGAGCATCACCTCGTCCTACTTCCACAAAGCCCACAGCGTGCTTGCTACTCCTCCACAACATCAGCTCCCTGAGCACCTTCCTCAGCATCCACCAGTGGGATTGAGGACATCAGGGTGGGAAGGGTCCAAGAGACACCCAGCCCCCAGAAGAGGGGCAGAAGCCTTGACAATTTCAGGGGGGTGGAATTTGCTGTACCCCAAACTGACCTGGGGAACAGGAATGAGGCAGGCAGGGGCTGGGCTACTGCCAGACAAGGGGAAGCCCCCAGGAAAAGTGAGAGTGCTTTCCCCAACGTTTTCCCTTTTCCTGGTGTTTCTATCAGGCCTGGAACTGCATCTGGCTCCCAGGCCCAGCACAGGCATGATGGGAGGCAGCCAATGTGGCCATAGGTTGCCAGCCCCAGAAAGCCCCATGCCACTCTTCTATCCTGCAGGACATCGAGCAGTCACAGCCATTGATGCTGGCCGGGAACAAAATGAATCTGCAGCCTGGCCTGGCAGAGGGGTCCACACAGACCACAGGCAGCTGGCCATGGTGAGCAGCAGCTCCTCAGGGCCCCCGGGGTAACCAGGGCCCCACTGACACCCACTACCAGCCCCAGGCCCAGGGCTGCCTGTTCGGCGCCAAGGACGGCCACCAAAGCGGTGGATGCGCTGCTGCATCTCGCTCGGTGAGGAGCCCAGGCTGGAGCGGGACCCGTCCCCGTGCTGCCGCCATCATTCTGCCCCTGCAGGGAGGTGAAAAGGCCGATCGGCACCGGCATTAGTACTGGGCTGGACCTCATCGCAACGCTAGCGGCTCCGCGAGGCTGCCGGACGGGCCGCTACAGCTGGGCCCGCCCCGGCCGTGCCGCAGCGCGGCTCTCCCCCGGTGCGCAGGCCCGGCCGCCATCTCTCCACCGCCGCCCTCCGACCGGCCCCGGGGCCTGCCTGCGCCCCGGCCCGCTCCAGCGCCGTGCCCTCCAGCTTCGTTCCTCGAGGCTCCCAGTTCTCCCACCCGCCCCGGGGTGTTCGGCGCTTATCCCCCACGCTGATCCCCGGGTGCTGCCCCAAAGACCGCCCAGGCCCGATCCCACCTTTGTTCCTCACCGTCAAGATGCCGCCGCTTGACTCTGTCTCGGCCGCGCTCGGTCCTTCTCTCCGCGGACACGATTACTCCGCCAGCAGTACCCGTGCTCGCCCACCCCCCGCCCGGCGCACGGACGAGCAGACGCAGCGTGCAGGGCTCCACAGCTACTTTAATAAGGGACGGCGCCGCAGGGCGCGGGGCGATGCCGGGGGTCCCGGCGGGACCCGGCCGGGGGCGGCGCAGGGCATCCTGCCGGCGGGACCGGCCCTGGGGCGGCAGCCCGGCGCGGCCGCCCGCTACTTGTTGCCCTCCTTCTTCTCGTCGGCCTTCTTCTGCTTCTGCTGCATGATCTCCGAGTCCCTGCGGGGAGCGCGGCGAGGCTGGCGGCGGGGCCGGCACCGCCGCGGGGCGGGAGCAGGGACCAGGGCGGGGGAAGCCGGCGGGGCCGGCCCGGCGCTCACCTCTGCTTGCGGGCGGCAGCCGAGAGCCCGTCGTCCCGCCGCTTGCCCTTGCCCGAGTCGCTCTGCTTCTTCAGGTTCTTCTGCCGCGCCAGTTCGCGCTGGTTGCCGCCTGCCACGGCGCGCCCGCCTCAGCGCGGCGCGGCCCGGCCCCGCTCACCGCCCGCGGCGCCACCACCCCACACCCCGGCCCGACCACTGCCCGCAGGGCGGGTCCCGGCGCGTCTGCGGATCATGGCGTGGCCCCTGACCCCGGCCCCACCGCACTCCTGGGTCCCAGACCAGCCCCCCACCGCCCCAGCCCACCGCACTCGCCAGTCCCGGTCCCCTTTACATTCCTTCCTTCCCCCCAACTCACGGGTCATGGCGCCGCTCCCTCCCACCTCCACTCCACCGCCACGTCCCGCACTGACCCCCCCCCACGCCCCGCCCCGCGCGGTGCTTTAAGGGACGCCGCAGCCAATCATTGCGCCGCTCCATCCCCCGCTGCGCTTCCATTGGTGCGTCTCTCCGGTAAGGCCCCGCCTGATTGGCCGCGGGCTATGGCCTCCCTTCTGCCGGCGGGGGCGAAAAAGCCGGAAGGTTGTCGCAAGCGCCGCAGTCGCCCCCGCGCGACAGGATGCGTGGCGTGGGGAACCGCCCCCGCCGTGACGTCATGAGGTGTGCGGGAAGCTCTGCCAAGCGGGGAGAGCGATGCGGACGGTGCGGGACGGGGGCGCGGAGCGCCGTCCCGCCCCTCCCTCAGCCCTCCCCCAGCAGTTTTCCGCCCCGGGGAGTGTGGGGCGATGCGGGGAGGACGGTATGAGAGCTCTTCCGTCTCCTTGGTCAGGCTCTGGGGCGCTGCGTGGCGGCTCAGATCGCTTCTTCCGCCGCGGGCGGTGCGGGGGATCTACGAGGAAGGACGGCTGTAAGCGCCATCCGTGCCAAGAGGGTGCGGGATGGGCACCCGTCCCTGCACCGCCCGATTCGCCTACGCACGTGGGGCTCGGCGGCCGCATCGGGTCGTGGCGGGGATTCTGCGGGGCGGTGCTGGATGGGGGGCTCTGGCGCTTCGCCAACCGTGAGAGCTCGGTGTGGATCACCTGCGGGCGAGGGGCGGCTGCGGTGGGACACTCGACCACCCCAGTACCGACTCTTGCGGGATCCTCTCCCTCCCCATTGCTCCTGGTACCAGGTCCTGTGGGACTACCGCCCGCCCTCGCGCCCCGGCTCACACACCTTGCTGGCCGGGTCCAGTTCCAGGGCTCTCCTCAGGACGAGCGCCGCCTCTGCGTCCCGGCCCTGCTCTGCCAGCAGCTGCGGGGAGAGGAGCGGAGGGTAGTGGATGGCCGGGCCGAGGGGAGCGGGGAGGTGTGGGACGATGCGAGCCCCACCTGACCGCGCCGGAGCAACGCCCGACCGTTGTCGGGGTTGATCCGCAGGGCCGCCTCGCAGGCCGCCAACGCCTCCTCCGCCCGCCCCAGCTTCAGCTCGGCGGCCGCGCAATTGTTGAGACACTTCACGCGCTGCTCCCGCAGCTCCTCTTCCTCCTCGGGCCCAGGCGGAGCTGCGGGGCGAGCGGCGGCCTCAGCCCCTCAGCCCCGCAGCCCCGGACCCTCCCTCCCGTCCGGTCTCACCGGTGGTGGGGCCGTCCAGGGCGCGTAGGGACAGCCGGTACGATCGCAGCGCCGCCGCGAAGTCACCCCGCGCGAAGTGGAAGTTGCCCCGCTCCCGGCGCTGCGAGCCCAGGCGCAGGCGGACGGAGGGCGGCAGCGGCTGCGGGTCGGGGCCGTCCCGCACCTCTAGCAGCGTCACCTCGAACAGCAGCGGCGCCTCGGGCGGCACGTCGGGCTCCCTGCTGGTACAGTGCCGGCTGCCCGCGACCCCTGCCCGCCCTGGTCCCCTGCCCTGCCGGCCCTACCGGCTCTGGTCCTCCTGTCTCGCCTGTCCCTGTTGTCTGCCCGCCCCGGTCCGTCTGCCCTCCCGCCCCCTGCCTGCTCCAGTCCCCGCCTAGCTCGGTGTCCCTGCCCGCCCGCCCTACCTACCTGCCCGGGCGGCCATAGGCGTAGGGGAAAGCGGCGAGGAAGAAGGAAACCTCCCCGGGCTGCATGGTGGGGACGCCCAGCTCCAGAGCCTGTGAACGAGCACGGCGGAGCTGCCGGGTCGGAGTCCCGGGCTGCGTTGTGCCCACACGGCACTGAACCGCGGACCGGTTCGGGCTCACCAGCACGACATCCCCGTGACCCGGCACGAAGATGAGTCGCGGGTCCCGCTCCACCAGCCCGCCGTCCTCCAAGGCGCCCAGCACCTTCACCGACACCTCCTGGCCCGGCAGCGGCCGAGGCCCGCCCGGCCCGGCCCGCACCACGCGCTTCCGCAGCAGCCGGTCCTCTGCGGGGGAGGAGGTGCCGAGAGCCGGGAGGCCCGAAATTGGTACCCCTTGCCCGACTCTCCCCGGTACCGCCCGTCCCAGCCTGGGCCGCCCGCCGGTCGCCGCTCACCCGTCAAGTCGCTCCAGCCTTCGGAAGCGAAGAGCGGCCCGAAGCCGCCGGGCCCCGGCACTGCCAGCGCCTCCAGCCGCCGGTAAAAGAGCCGCTCCTCCTCGCGCACCGACGGCACCGCGATGGCGGTGTGAGGCAGCCGGAACCGCACCCGCCGCTCCCGGCCGGGCCCCCGCGACCGGCCGCCGGCCCCTGTTTCCCTCTCCGGGGAGCCGCCGGGCGACGGGCCCAGCATGTCCGCCCCCGGCCCTCTTCGCCGTCCGCCGCTACCTGCTGGCCTCGGTCCGGGCCCGCCCGGGCCTCGGCGGCGGGTGCCCACGGCCCCCAGCCCGCACCGGGCTTGTCGCCACCGATCCCGCCGCGCCGCGACTGTCGGGGGTCGCCCGGACCTGGGACACCGCGGAGCGCATGCCGCCGCACCGTTACCTAATGCCGGGAAGCGGCTCAGGGGATTAGTCCGGGCCGGCGGCAAAAATAGCTGGCCCAGGGCGAGCCCCGCCACGGGGCTCCCACCGCCCGCTGCTGCCCCTCGGGACCGCCCAGCCACCGCCATCCCGTGTTCCGGGAAATGCCGCTGCCCTGCGGCTCCGGTACCGAGGCTGTGGGCCGGGTGTCCCTGGTTTATCCCAGCTAGCAGCAGAAGAATCACTGTATCTCCATCCAAAGCTGTCGCACAGTAAAAGTCTGATTCTGCAGTTTGAAAGAAGCTGGACCTCCTAGGCAAACTGCTGCTGCAGTTTCTTCCTTGCTCGTCCCAACCTGACTCTGAAGCACTGCCAGCTGCTCCAGCTGCCCTGAAGCACCTGGGGGCCAGCTCATTCCCTGCTCCCTGGAGGGCCATGGCCAACATCTGATCTTATGCCAAGGCCTGAGCCAGCTTGGGGGAATGTGTTACTGTGGATGGTGGCCTCCCTCTTACACGGGACCAGCTCTCCATGCAGGTCTCACTGAAAGCAAGGGCTGTCGCCATCCTGTTAGCCAAGTATTCCAGGCAGTGAATACACAAAACCTTCCCTAAATGTGTTCCTCCTCAATTGAAGCTCAGTACCTTCAGTGTAGTTGCAGCACAGTGAGGGACATCTGGGCAGCCACCAGCACAACCCTTCCTCATCCTCTGTCCCTCCTCCCAGAAAGTTTCCCCAGACCTGTGCTAACTTCATCCAGGCTGCTCTAAGCACCAGCAGTGATGCTCTGGGCCAAACATGCTGAAGAGTTTTACCTGTGTTCAGTGCCCCAGCTGCCACCAGGTCAATAGTCACAGACCAAGGAGCAAATCCAGGATCAGAACCACTTTTCTGGCTCTCTTTGGCTTGATGGAGGGCACTGCCCTGCCCACCAAGGAAGCAGCATTCCAGTTTGGTGTTACATTGGTAATTGTTAGCTGTCAGTGGAGCTTGTTGTGTTCTATTTCCCTGCAGCAGTGCCAGGAGCCCACAGCCAGGTGCAGGGCTCCTGCCAGTCTGTGTAGGGACCACTGGACATCATATGCTCCTCCAAAGGTGCCTCAACACCCACATGCATCAGGGGACAGACCACCTGCCACAGCAGCAGAACACAGAAGGGAGATGTGGTTTGAGATACTAATGGAGCTGGGAAAGAAACTGTACTGCACAGCTACTGTAATCAAAGAAGTATACCCTAAGTCTTGTATGAACCTGGAGAATTCCAGCAGCAAAACATAAGGTACCCAGGCTTTGAGTTGTGGGGGAGGAATCCACAGAGAAAGCAAGCTCTGGCTCTTGCCATGGTAACTGCTGCCATGCAGCAGTACTTTGAGTGTGCTGACCCTCACTTCAACTTGCATGTAGTCCAGGAACCCAGAACCACGGTGACAGGCCCTACCTGGTCCACCCATCTCTTTTCTGCCCTTCCCAAAGGAAATCAGAACACCCTCAGATGGTCAGTCACAGCCCATACCACATGGTCTACTCCTACCCCTCCTGAAGAGAGACCCACAGCTACCAGCCTGTTTCTTAGCATGGGAAGGAATGATTAACTGGTCTTATCCACCCTCACCACAGCCAAGCACCAGCCTGTGACAAGCACCCTTGGCCCTACCTGTGTTTGGGTAGAGGCTATAGGTAGTAACACTCCTCCCCCTGCACCTGACTACTCCTGCAACAACTTCAAAGCTGATTTATTGCTGCTGCTGAGTGAGGCCCTTGCCAGCCTGCTCCACATGCTTGCACTGCTGCAACCCAACAGTCACAGTGAGCACCAGGGACCTCTGAACTTGCTATGGCAGCACACAGCAAAAGCACTTGTGACCACAGTCCCTCAGTCCAAAATGTGTAAATGCAGCACCTGAAGCCCAACACATTGGGACAGCTGTTGCTGCTACATTCTGGAGGGGCTCTAGCAGCTGAGGAAAGAGGAGAATGAGCTAAATGTTGAACTCAGTGGCTAGGAGGGCTCACTGCAGGGAACAACTTGCAGCAGGGAGCTGCTGCCTCTGAAGAGCAGGATCCCATTGTTAGGTCTGATGGGCTGCCCCAGGACAGGGATATTTTGTCTTAAGGGGGTCATTTTATTGTTTCACTTCTCCAAATGTACAAAAAAAATTAGAAAATAACTGTACCCCCACCCCCTCCCAAACCACAAAACAAACCTGGGGAGCCCCACAACAGTGCAGCTAAGAGACGGCAGGAAATTAAACATTACTAGATACAGCAGCTGGGGCCCCTCGGCCCACATGGCCACTGGCTCTCCACAGCCCAGAACTGGCCCCAGTCTGACCAGTGCTTCCCCAATTCACACAGAGCTCATCCTGACAAGATGGCAAATAGGTACTTTACAAATCCTCCTTCACCTTCTTCTTTGATTTCTTGGATTTCTCTTCCTCCTGCAGCACAGGAGTGTTGGTTGCCTCCCGCTTCAGGTAGCTGATGAAGTCACTCACTTCTCTGCCCCCCTGCAGAAAGCAAATGACAGGTAGGACCT